TCCCCTTTTCTCCAGATCATTTAAGAATGCACTAACCTTACTATGGATCCTTGAAGCATCCAGCTTTTTGCCTTGTTGAAAATAAACATTGTATTCCTTGTTTTCCCTCTTAGCCAGTTTCTCTTGCTTGGCAGAATTTTATCCCTCTCCTCTTGGCCCTTTAAGTTGTTTTAACAACTTCTTGCAGGATTGAAAGTCTGAATTATATCAGTCAGTTCTCTCTCTGCTTTTATTGACATCCTCGAATAATTCAAATAGATTTTCTGCCTCAGAAGCCATGCTGGGCTGCCCCATGCCCACGCTTGTGTTGGAGATTTGGAATTCTATTTTTAAGGTTCAGTGGTGTAAATCCCAGAGTCCACCCCTACTGACTTTCTTAAAGAGAAGAACAATGCTCATGTGGCAGAGTAGCCACCTGTGACCCAGAGGAACCGAGAGGAGCTAGGTCTGTTTATATATGGGATTTGGTTGCGTATACTTGATGTGGAGTAATAAGGCTTAGTTCACTTGTGAGTTACTTGGGCTTTGCGTACAATATAAAAGCCTTATTTTGAGAGCTCAGGGGAGAGGCATTTCCACAGCATAGATCATGAAGCCAGATGAGGCTTTTCTTTGGGACTGTCAGGAAGATGTGAGAGCGGAACTAGGCCAGGTGGAAAAAACCTAGAGAGCCGACTCTGAGAATCTGGATTAAATCTGCCGGAAGTGAAGGGTAAAGTAAAGCATCCTTGAAGTTTTAAAGGAATAGTTCTATTTTTTGTGTAATTTAGTGCATGTCTTTCACAAATGAAATGCTTCAGCATGGGATGGGTAACTGCCCAACTTACCTCCAGATCAGTTTGCCACCCTCCCAGTATGGTCTCAAGTATCAGGGGTAGCCATGTTAGTCTGTATCCACAAAAACAACAAGGAGTCCGGTGGCACCTTCAAGACGAACAGATTTATTTTTACCCACGAAAGCTTATGCCCAAATAAATCTGTTCGTCTTGAAGGTGCCACCAGACTCCTCGTTGCCAGTTTAATGGTTGCTAGTATATATTTTTGGTTGGCCGCTCAGGCCCTTCATTCTTAAATTCCTTCTGCACTCTTGGCTTGATATTGTTGGTCCTGGTGACTTTCTGTTCTTTAATTATTTTGTGCCAGCACCTTCTCTCTTGACACCTCTATCTGACTCTCACCTTCTCTGTGTCGTTCCAGGGCTGAGAATGATGAGAACATCCTGTTGAACAGAAGTTATCACTAGACTACATTGCCCTGCAGCTCAGTTTATTATTATTTATACAGCCATCATAAATGTTCATGGTGCTTTTAAAGGCAATTTCCCTGCCCTGAAGATCTTGCCATCTGTGTTCAGTTTTTCTTGTGCAAAATTTTTAGAGGTGACTACGCTTTCAGCTCCTAAAAAACACATTAACTGTGTCTGAGACAGACCTGCAGGACTTCTTTCAGCAGAGATCTGGCCCTGCAGAGGCCCCAAGACCTGAGAGAGAGCCAGCTACTAAGGATTATTTTACAGGGGTGGGAAGGCTACCACCTCCCCTGACAATGGGGTGGGCCTTTTGAGCTGAGTTTGCTGTCAGTTCGTATTGCAGTGTGGTGATGAAACAATCCTGCCCCAGAAAAGGTTAGATTATTTTATGGGACTGTTCTACATCCAGAGGCCAGTTATAAAGGTGGCAGCCGTGAAGTGAGACTTGTATTCCTTGCTGGAGGGAGACATTCATTATAGGACTCAACTGAAAAAGCACATTGGTGCCTTAAATGTAAAATCTGACCAGCTTGGTAGTGAATGCTTGGAGAACAAATGAAATGCTAGGCAGGAAAGGATGAGTTGGTAAAGAGGGAATTCGGACACTGCCAATAATGTGTGACCATGTTTGGCTTATCCCAAAGTCACTACCGAAAGAGAATTTCAGTTCTGGAAGAGCAATAAGCACCAATATAATACTACTAGACTCTTAGGACTGGCAGAGGAAGACGAGATGAGATCTTAAGTAGCTTCTTGGATCACTGGCTGTAAAGATTTTGCCTCTTAAGGAGGATGATCAATTTTACACTGAGAGAGCTGACCAAATCCTTCTTAAATATGAATAAAAGTAATGGGGTTGGCAGGACTGTCTGCAAATCATTTGATCATAATGGCCATGAAAATCCTGCTGATCATACGGGAAAGGAGACTTTCTCTCTCCCCAGCTTCCTCCTGTGACCCAGGCAAAATGCCAGTGTCTTTCTAGTTTAAAAAACGGCCTCCTGAAAAATGCGTTGGAGGCTGTGCTGCTTTTCCTGGCAGCTATGTATGAAGTGTGCTGGCAGGACTCTCTTTTGGGAAGCAGAGGTAGGGGAATGGATGTGAGACGAGAGTGAGAAATTGACCATCTGATAGGACGTCTTGATGCCAGAACTCAAGCTGGCCAGATACTTAAAGTCTAGTTCCACTCTCTATTATCATGACAAATTGGTTTAATTATTTCCTGATCAGCAAATCCTTCCATCCTTTCACACTTAAGAACAACAGGCATTTATCCTATAGGCTTCCTTGCCGTCCTGCCTCCCATCCGCCGCTGATGGACAGTATTGTTAAGCATCTGAAAAGCCGGTGTGCTTTGTCGGTATTTCTTGTCAGTGGCTGCTCTTTAGTGCTTTACTGTAGCTGGTGTACGAGAATTCAGGTAACCCTTTCAGAGCTGTGACTGTCTGGATGGTTCAGGGGAATTGCGGGAGGACATGGAGACCAGCACCAGGATACAAAAGTTTTGTACTTCTAGGTCATTGGTTCAAATCCATCCCAGACTGGTGCTTCAGCCATCAGAGTCTGACTGGACCTGCATGAAATAAGTTTGTTCTGTTCAGTTCATGTCCTAGTGAACATTGTGCATCTGGTTTTGTTGGCTAAGGACTGAATGGACATAAAGAATGGAGATGTTTGAGATGGTCCCTTCTTAGCAGAAGCGCAATGTGCTTTAGGTGGCACATGATCAGGATTCATTACTGAATCTGATCATTAACTTCCCCGGCTTAGTCCGCATACTTAAGGGGAGTGCAACATGAATGCTGATCCCTCAAGAACAGAGTTGAGATGTTGATAAGTGCTGTGGGGGAAACTTGCTTTACTAATGCCTCTCTCATACCTCTTGTTAGTTTGGCATCACACCTTATAGCAGCCTGCCACCGAATCAGTAATGAATAGTAATGACAAACAGACATAGGGCAGACTCCAAACGCAGTGTGTAGCCCTGCCCTGGGAAGATCATGCCTACATGTGACGGAGCTGAGGGGCTAGTCTTTTTTATTCCAGTAACACTTGCATAGCTGGTCATGCCAACAAAGTCTTACTGGATTTCATTTCAGCATTGTTTACAGGCGGTAAATTCGTAGTATGAACAGATTCACCCTGGATGTCTCTCGAAGTAGTTCTCTAAGTTCTTCAGTTTCCTGTGGAAGCTAGGTTATTGGAGTAGATGGAGGAAAGTTTGGTGTTATCCAAGGAGATCGGTGAAAGAATAATGGGATGCCTTCAGAGGGACACTGCTATAAGGCTGACGCAATGACTGTGGGGTTCAGACACTTGGTGTCGGTTTCTGTAGCAAGCATTGTGTCTGCAGGTTATAGTCATGTATGTGCTCAGCCAACTGACTGCAAAACTCCAAAGCACCTGGAATCTTGCAGTCCAGTGCCCATGGTGCTTCTCAACACACAGGCATGTAGTACTTGGTAAGCTCACTGTTAACCTTGTGGAAGTTTAACTGACTTGGTGTGTCAGTTTCACTCTTGTGTCGACTACTGGGCATGTGCTGTGTACACTAGCATAGATCCAATCCTCTGCTCTTGCTGGGGTTATTCTGCAGGGGCTACAGAAAGAAAAGACAGGTAATCTCGTGCATCTCCTCATCTCACACCCCAGAGGATCATACCTGAGTCTGTACGTAATTCCCAGAGGCACTGGGAAACACAGAATGGCACTGTGGAGGGCTGTGCCATTCTCATCTGCTTGATGTGGCTGGTTCTCACAGTGACTCTGGAGAACACAGTTCAGCAAAGGCGCAATCCTTCACTACATGATTCTCCTGCAGGAAAATATCAGAATTCCACAGCGTGAGGAAAACATTTCCTGTGTCACACATGAACTGTGATGTATAAGGTTCGGAAATACGTTCTTGACAGAGAAATAGTGAATGGGATTGGTGGCATAGGCCCCTAGTGGCAAACAGTTGCAGGTGGTTGTCTGTCCAGAGGGCTGGGGAAACACCATCTGGCAGACGCCACACAAAGCTGAGCTCCACATTACAGGAAAGATACTGGCTAATTGTAGAAGGCACAGAAGAGGGGAAAAGGTAGGTTTCAGTGTCGTCCCTCACTTTAAAACACCGCGTAGCTGGACATACCTGTCTAACCACATTTTCATTGGTATGAATTAGAGGCAAAAAGTACACGTAAGTGGAAAGGACAAACGAGCATCTGACAAAGAAAGTATGGCAAGAACCAGAATCACGTACGCTTGAGGCATACGTTCTCATGTAGAACTTGGCATTTGTCTAGTGCATGGTATGTTTCTCTGAATGTGTAACCATTAACTAACACGTAGCTTTCCATGGAGTTGGGAGGCTCTGAATTCTCACGTTACACATGGACAAACTGTCCGAAGTGAAGTGATTTGCCTACGGTCATTCTGCAAATCGGTGCCATAACCAAGATTGGAACTCTGGGGTTCCTGTCTCCCACACTGAGTTCTTTGTTTCCAAAGCCATTCATGGGTTGTTTAACTGTTACTACATAGCCAGTGAGTCCAACTAATTTAACTTCCAGTGTTAACGAGGATGTGCACTTCTCGGAGTCCCAGATCCAAAGATTACTGTGGGTGTTGGTCTCCTAGGGTAGCCAGTGCAGATTTTGAGATAGTAGACAAGCAGGTATGAAGTCATTCTGTTTTGTCTGGCAAAATTGGAATACATTGTCACAAATGTTACTACGCATTTAATCAGTTTTATCTTTCTCTTTTTCAGCTTTTCCGACGCGTGGCAGCTGCCTTGCCTGGAATGGAGAGCACACAGGACAAAAGCAGAGAAGACAGTATCCTTTATGTCTTCGAGCCAGGATTCTGTGGATGTACAGCTAGGGGCTTTCATGCATGGGGACATGCAGTCCCTGAGTAACACACAGGATGTGGGAAGGGAGAGGTATAAATATAAAACCTGCCCCGGTGGCCATCTGCCTAGCTGTTAGTTGGCTAATTGCTTAGGCATCACAGAAGCATGTGTTGAGGAAAGGGTATGATCCTTACAGACTAGTTCAGCGAGGGTGTTCTGGGCTGTAGAAGCAGCGTGGAGATGTGGAATAAGCTGAAAAGAAGCTGAGGGAGGTGTTGAGTCTGGGATCACTGGTGGAGTAGAGCGGTGAGGGTTATGCAGTGACGTGAATGGATAGGTGTAGGGATGGTCAGCTGGGAAGTGCCTTGGAAGTGGGACAAGAGGCCTGAATTTAATGTGGTGGAAAAGGGAATTAAAAGGAGGGTGACATGGTCAGATCACCAGGCAAGGGAATTCTTAGCCCAGCATTTTGAACAGGTTGGATGTCAAGGAGGCTACAGAGGAGTTTGCAGTAGTCAAGAGAGAGCCCCGAAGAGTTTGTGGTCTGGACAGAGAAGGCTGGATCTGAGATGTTTTATAGAGCAGAGGTTCTTAACCAAGGATCCAGGGGCCCCTGGCAGGCTGTGATCAGGTTTCAGGGATGCCGCCAAGCAGGGACAGTGTTAGACTTGATGGGGCTCAGGGCAGAAAGCCGAAGCCCCACCACGTGGGACTGAAGCCTGGGGCCCTGAGTCCTGCCACCCGGGGCTGAAGCCGAAGCCTCCTCAATGTAGCTTCATGAGGCCCCATGTGGCATGGGGCCACAGGCAAATGCCCTGCTTGCTACCCCCTAATGCCACCCTTGGCTTTTATATGCAGAAAATCAGTTGTTGTGGCACAGGTGGGCCGGGGAGTTTTTATAGCATGGGGGGGCTCAGAAAAGAAAGGTTGAGAACCCCTGGTCTAGAGGATAAAGCTGCAAGTCTTGGGTGCCAAACTGACAGGCCCAAATAACAGGAGATCAATGCATTGTCAGTGGTTAACGAATGAGGAGGGCTGAGGGGGAAAGACAGCTGAATGGAGGCAGGTCAGGAGTGTAAAGGTAGGTTTCCGAGTAGCCTACAACAAAGATCACTCATTGTCAAGAGAAATGGCTAGGGGTGCCCTGACAGGAGCTGCTTGGAGAGAAGCATAAGGGGATTTCCCCAAGAGGTGCTTTGCTCAGAGGTGGTAGGTCTAGGTGATAGTCACAAAAGCTAAGGCAGGACAAGACCTTGAGAAGTTGGGTGCAATCAGTAATCTCCATACCACCTACAACCCTTCAGTTGCAATCAGTCTGACCTCTTCCTCCCCCATCATCTCTGCTTCTCTTGACACTGCAACGAAGAAGGGAAATGGCGCAGTCATTGGAGACGGGTCTTTTTTTTTTTTGAGTATGGGGGACATGCGCATGCTTATCTCAAGGGGATGATGCCAAAGGAGAGAGCAGGTGTTGAGAAAGAGAGGGCATTAGAAAGAGAGTGGAAGTGGATGGATTTTTTTGTGGGTGGTGCTGAAGGAGCTGGAGGGTGAGAGGTGAGAATCAGCATGGATGATAAGGAGGTAAGAGTGGAGAAGGAGGAGAGGAAATCACAGCAGATCTTGATCTTATTTGAAAAAGCAGGTAGAGGATAGAGGGGAGGTTTTAGGGGATAATCTGTTTCAAATAAGTAGCTGGCATTATGAGCCTATGAGTTAGTGAAGGTGGAGCTCTATAGTACTGTTTGGCAAGGAATGAGGCAGGAACTGTAAGAGAGCACACTTGGAGTAGAGGAAGTGATTGTGTCAGATGTAAACTAAAGACCTTTTAAGCATCACATTTGTTGCAGAGTTAAAAAACATGATTTTAGCAGCTGTAGGTTGCAGCTGCTAAATCCTGGGCTTTCTGTGTGATATGGCTGGCTGGGATGATTTAACTGGGATTTAGTCCTGCTTCGAGCAGGGGGTTGGACTAGATGACCTTCTGGGGTCCCTTCCAACCCTTATATTCTATGATTCTATGATTCTATGTACTTGATTAATCAAGGACCCTTTCTCAGCAGCATACAGCTGACAGGCTAATCAGTGCCGATTTTATTAATGAGAAGGACAGTGTTAGATTCATAGATATTTAGGTCAGAAGGGACCATTATGATCATCTAATCTGACCTGCTGCACAACGCAGGCCACAGAATTTCACCCACCACTCCTGCAAAAAACCTCACACCTATATCTGTGCTATTGAAGTCCTCAAATCGTAGTTTAAAGACTTCAAGGAGCAGAGAATCCTCCAGCAAGTGACCTGTGCCCCATGCTACAGAGGAAAGCGAAAAACCTCCAGGGCCTCTTCCAATCTGCCCTGGAGGAAAATTCCTTCCCGACCCCAAATATGGCAATCAGCTAAACCCTGAGCCTATGGGCAAGATTCATCAGCCAGATACTACAGAAAATGCTTTCCTGGGTAACTCGGATCCCACCCCATCTAATATCCCATCACAGGCCATTGGGCCTATTTACCATGAATATTTAATTACCAAAACCATGTTATCCCATCATACCATCTCCTCCATAAACTTTTTAAGATTAAACTCGATGCCAGATGGATCTTTTGCCCCCACCTCTTCCCTTGGAAGGCTATTCCAAAACGTCACTCCTCTAATGGTTAGAAACCTTTGTCTAATTTCTAGTCTAAATTTCCTGGTGGCCAGTTTATATCCATTTGTTCTTGTGTCCACATTGGTACTGAGCTTAAATAATTCCTCTCCTTCTCCGGTGTTTATCCCTCTGATATATTTATAGAGAGCAATCATATCTCCCCTCAACCTTCTTTTAGTTAGGCTAAACAAGCCAAGCTCTTTGAGTCTCCTTTCATAAGACAAGTTTTCCATTCCTCGAATCATCCTAGTAGCCCTTCTCTGTACCTGTTCCAGTTTGAATTCATCCTTCTTAAACATGGGAGACCAGAACTGCACACAGTATTCCGGGTGAGGTCTCACCAGTGCCTTGTATAACGGTACTAAAACCTCCTTATCCCTACTGGAAATACCTCTCCTGATGCATCCCAAGACCGCATTAGCTTTTTTCACGGCCATATCATTGGCGGCTCCTAGTCATCCTATGATCAACCAATATTCCAAGGTCCTTTTCCTCCTCCGTTACTTCTAATTGATGCGTCCCCAGCTTATAACTAAAATTCTTGTTCTTAATCCCTAAATGCATAACCTTACACTTCTCACTATTAAATTTCATCCTATTACTATTAGTCCAGTTTACAAGGTCATCCAGATCCTCCTGTAGGAGGATATCCCTGTCCTTCTCTAAATTGGCAATACCTCCCAGCTTTGTATCATCCGCAGACTTTATTAGCACACTCCCACTTTTTGTGCCAAGGTCAGTAATAAAAAGATTAAATAAGATTGGTCCCAAAACCGATCCTTGAGGAACTCCACTGGTAACCTCCCTCCAGCCTGACAGTTCACCTTTCAGTAGGACCCATTGTAGTCTCCCCTTTAACCAATTCCTTATCCACCTTTCAATTTTCCTATTGATCCCCATCTTATCCAATTTAACTAATAATTCCCCATATGGCACGGTATCAAATGCCTTACTAAAATCTAGGTAAATTAGATCCACTGCGTTTCCTTTGTCTAAAAAATCTGTTACTTTCTCAAAGAAGGAGATCAGGTTGGTTTGGCACGATCTACCTTTTGTAAAACCATGTTGTATTTTGTCCCATTTACCATTGACTTCAGTGTCCTTAACTACCTTCTCCTTAAATTTTTTCCAAGACCTTGCATACTACAGATGTCAAACTAACAGGCCTATAATTACCCGGATCACTTTTTTTCCCTTTCTTAAAAATAGGAACTATGTTAGCAATTCTCCAATCATACGGTACAACCCCTGAGTTTACAGATTCATTAAAAATTCTTGCTAATGGGCTTGCAATTTCATGTGCCAATTCCTTTAATATTCTTGGATGAAGATTATCTGGGCCTCCCGATTTAGTCCCAATAAGCTGTTTGAGTTTCGCTTCTACCTCAAATATGGTAATGTCTACCTCCATAGCCTCATTCCCATTTGTCATGCTACCATTATCCCTAAGATCCTCTTTAGTCTTATTAAAGACTGAGGCAAAGTATTTGTTTAGATATTGGGCCATGCCTAGATTATCCTTGACCTCCACTCCATCCTCAGTGTTTAGCGGTCCCACTTCTTCTTTCTTTGTTTTCTTCTTATTTATATGACTGTAGAACCTTTTACTATTGGTTTTAATTCCCTTTACAAGGTCCAACTCTACTTGACTTTTAGCCTGTCTCACTTTATCCCTACATGTTCTGACCTCAATAAGGTAGCTTTCCTTGATGATCCCTCCCTTCTTCCACTCCCTGTAGGCGTTCTGCTTTTTCTTAATCACCTCTCTGAGATGCTTGCTCATCCAGCTTGGTCTACAACTCCTGCCTAGGAATTTTTTCCCCTTTCTTGGGATGCAGGATCCTCAGTCCCTGCATGTGGTGACTCCTCCTGCCTCCATCAGGGAGTTATATCCAGTCTCCAAATGGGAGAGCAATAAGGCCACTTCCAGTTGGGCTCTCTGCAGAGTGCAGATAGCAAAACAACTTGTCACTGTGTGTGTCCTGTGCTGTAGAAGCAGGTCAAGACCAGTGGCAAGTTTTGTTGTTTTTTTTTTTCCCCTCACTGCCTGTTTACAGAACCATGGGGGTACAAGGAAATTGGGCTAATCATCAGGCTTTCATGCTCCATAACTCATCTGCATGGTGTTGGCAGAGCTGTAGTTTTAAGCATCTTTCTCAAACAGCTTCCTCTTAACTGTGAGAGGATTTAGAGACTCAAAGCTACAAGACAGAACTGTAACAAAGGACTCTTCCGTTCTTTGTTTCTTGCTGACCATGTCCTTCCATCCCTTGGAAAGAAAAGCTTCCTCCCCAAGAATAGATAATTGGTGTTACCAGCCGCAAGAACTGCGTGCCATCCTGAGCGAGCTGGGCAGAGACAGATTTTAGACTTGTGCTAAGCTGACATGAATCAGCGTGACTGGGGTTAGTGTTCAGCGCTCCACCTGTGATCTCTGGGTGCACTGTAATGATGGAGTATCAGGTTTGGGGATCAGAGTACCACAAAGGGAGTCATTTATTAGAGGCTGCGTCAGAGGGGAGCGTTTGAGTGACCATGTGCCATTTTTCACTTTTGGCTGTCCTTGCAAGGGGTAGGTTTTTGGAAAGCAGCACAAGTTGCTCAGTGACACCAGTGAGAGAGCTGGGGGAAAGGATTCATTATTATTTCCCACAAAGGCATTCTCAACGCCTGGGAATGCCGTCCAGAAATGGTGTGGTAGTGTGGGAGGGTCAGTGCTCCTAAATCCCATGACGGGTATGATATGAAAAGGGATTGTCTTTTTCTGATCCAGTCCAGGGCCAATGCCAAAAGTTAACTGAGTCTGTAACATTGCCACGGCACCCTTCTAAACCTGGTACATTGAGAGGCTAAACCTTAAATCTCATCTTATTACCCTCCTCTTCCCCCCACTGCAGTTCTGACACACAATCGCCAATTTCTGGACAGTCACTTGTGAGTGATTGGAATGCCTTCTGTTAGGGGTGTCAGATTCGTTCTGTGGCAAGAGCCAAACTACCATCTCTCACTCCGTGAACCTGGCGTTAAACTTTCACTAGTCCTTTGGGCACTTAAGCCTCCTCACTTTCACTCTTCTTCTCTCCTGCCCCCTCCCTCTCCTGGTACTGGTGCTGTGGGGTGGAGTGACAGTGGTGGGCTGGGCACTCTTTTCTGTGAGGCTGGGGATGCTTAGAACAGCAGGAAGCTGGAGGTGGGGGAGCAGAGAAGCATCTGCTCTCCTCACCCCATTGCTATGGGGCTCTGCAGTGGCAGCGAGAGGCTGGGAAGAAGTCTCTTTAAGCTGGGACACGGCAGCCCTTGTAGGCACTCAGGGAGAAGGGGAGTGCGGAGAAGGAGCGCAGATGCTTGTGACCAATCAGGTATGAGTTCTCTTAAGCTCCTCCCACTTTATGGGTCCAGCCCTGTTGAAGTTGAAGTGCAGGAGCTGCAGGTTGAATGCCTTTGAACTGTGGAGGCGGTTGCAAGCTGGAAGAAAGGGTCCTGAAAGTAGGTTCTGCCCCGCGAGCCATGTGTTTGACACCTGGGCTTTATGCCATTAGAAATCTGGGTTCCTGCTTTCAGAGGAGATACGGCTGCAGTGTTAGCTTCAAAATGATGGCTCCTAAAACAGCAGGATAATCAGGACAACTCTCTCTATTTATAATCCAGTCTTCACAATTTGTCAGGCCTAGGAGACAAATACTTTGTACCAGTCGCTCTGTCTTCCCTAGACCCTGGCCCACAGAGTGGTTGAAAAATTGTCCCAGGGTCCACCATAGCCCTCAGTCCTCTGTAAATGGAAACAATTGTGAGCTTTGGGCCATGGAGGGGGTTGCTGAAGGGGGGGCGGGGCGCTGAGATGAACTGGGCCTTCCTCGCTGCCCTGGAGCTGCGACCAGGGAAGGGGACGTGCAGGAGCTGCTCTCTGTGAGTTGGTGAGAGCAGGGCTGAGGGAGGGAAAAGAGAGCAAGCTTCTCTCTGCTCTTGCTGGGCTCTACTGGCCTGTGCGTGTTGCTGCTCCCTCAGTAACCCACTTTTGGATGTCTCCCCCAGCTGAAAGCTGCTGTTCTCTACCACTGGAAAGCAAAGACTGGTTATAGTGTTTGTTTCTAGCCCTAGTGGTTTGAGACACTGGACATACAAGCCATTTTCAATCTAGCCGTGGGTTAGAGACTGCCCTAGATCTTCAACCTGTGTACCTTTCATTTCCTGCTGTCGGAATATCTTGGAAACAGGAAGAGGTGATTAGGAGACAGCAGGAAGGGAAAGATCTTACAGGGGTGGGCACTGCATTTCTAAGAGCTTGGCAAGGACACCCCAAGCCTGGCCTGGGCACGCCCTTAGGTAATTAGCACGAATCTCAAATCAGTAAAGGGGGCTAGGAAATCTACCTTAACTTATCTGAGGCTGGGATTTTCAAGGGTAGTGCCCCATTGAATACCAGTAGGAGTTGGCGCCTAGCTGTGTTAGGCTTCTCTGAAAATGCCAGCCTAAAGCCCCACCTAGAGGCAGTGCAGAGAAATATGGCAGAACGAGGATTGCTGGGTCCTGTATTCAGAGCAAGGTTGGCTTTGGACCCAGCAGGGCCAAGGTGGGGAGTGCTCCAACTTGTTTGCCTTAACTTACTTCTTCCAGTGATTGACATAAAACTGGAAAAGCCTCAAGAGCAGCCGGTCAGTGAAGGAGGTTGTTCCTGCTAATACCATGTTGCTTCTCTTACATTTCTCCAGAACATCACTGCTTCCCCTCCCTTTACTCTTCATTGACTGCTGTGTGAATATTGGCTTGAACCGTCCCCTTTCAGTAATAACGTATTGCAATTCATCGTTGCTGGCTGTCTCGTGGAGATGATCTCTTAGCTTCACAAGCACACACACAAGAGAATGTCAGTGTCTTCATTATTTATAAGAAAAAAAATAAAGCCAAAATATTCCAGCATATTCCAGTTATAACTTTAAAAAGATAGGTACAATTTCTTAATATTGGTTCCTTTTTAATGTTATGATATTGCACTTTGAAATGATGGAAATTGAGTAAATTTTGAGTTGGACTTGAAGAGGTATGTGCAGAATAACACTTATATCTTACCCACTTGATTTTGCTATCAAACTGGAAATGACTAGACAGCAATCAAAAGAAAGGTAGAGTTGGCGTATCCTTTAGGGTTAGATGCTACCCTTTATATAAAATAAACAAAAAAGCTATAATCATCCTCTACGCTGAGATGCTCTGAATCTTTTTTTCAAGTCCCAAACATTTTGGAAACCTGAAACTTTAGCAGGGTTTTGATGCTGAAAAAGGCTACTGAATCTTAGTCTTCGCAGAGTCAATATGAACAAATTTCCAAGAAAGCAGACCCAGAAATATTACATGTCTTTCTGATATCGATAGATGGCTTTTTTGGGCAGGGACACGTGCTAACGAAACACTTTTGCTGGAGACAAGTAAACAAATGTCTTGGATAGACAATTAGTTTTAAAAGCATTTTTTTTCTTTTATGTAGAACTCCAATAAAGTAAATTATTACTCGAGAGAGTGAAACGTGACATTTTGGCTATTGGGGAGAAAAGCAATTTTTTAAAAAGAGGGAAGTTTTAAACAAAGTTCAGCATCAGCACTAAAAACAATTTGGTCAGTGGATTGGCACGTCCAAATCTAGTAGAAAGACAAAACAGCATTTGATGGAACAAGTAGAAATGTTACAATAATTTACAGTTAATATGGGTTGGATGGATTGAGGATCAGCTCATGGGTTTCCTTATCATGGTCCTAAGTAAATTGAGGAGGGGGGGATATTTACTTGTGATTCTATAGAAGTAGATTTGAAAGACCCTAGGTGAAAAAGAAGGGAATTTTAATAGGATGAAAAGAAACTTATGATTATGCAGACGTATGCCTTTAATTTTTAGCATTTTTTATGTTGGGTCTTCCAAGTTGGTTTAGTTTTTTCATTAGATCTGTATAGTTTGGTTAAATAGCTAGTAATTTAGTTTTATATTTAACTAAGCCACAGTTAACCATTTTTCTTTTATATTTATTTCTCAGCTTAATTTTTTTTACTATTTTCAGTATTTTTTGTTTTGCTGAGGAATCTGTAGAGCTTTGCCGGTGTTGCAAGATGTAGCTATCCAAGAAACACACAGAAACCAATACACTAGATGCGCACCCTCGTAATCTTTACTAGTCCTTGTGAAATTGCTGTGTCAGTTAATAAACACAATTGTAAATACATTGTTTCCAGGAAGAGTATTGCTGAGTTACAGTGCAGGAAAAAAATGCCTTACAAGCACTACTTAATTGACAAAGTCTAAAGATGGAATTGAAAACACTCAAACACCTCCCTCCTTCCCTTCTGCCCTTCCCCCACTGAAAATAACCAACCTGGGGGGAATAGCCCCCCTCCCCCACCTCTGTCACCTGGCAATATGCAGAGAAAGTGTGGAATTCTGCATTCTGGAGTTGAATGTCAAATCAATACCTGCCCTGGTTTTCTAATAACTCTGCATACCAATAACTTAACATGAAAGGCAAAAATGAGATGTAAAGTGCTTTTACAATGCAATATTAAAGGCGATTTTTTTTTGACATGGCATGTCTTGAAATAAACAGTGAAATATGACGAAGGATCATATTCTTTATTTCAAAGAAGCTGATGTGGGGCGGAAAACCTGGCTACTTTTCCTGTATTGTAGTCTCCTTTATTGTGCAAAAAACAAAGACCCCATCTTGCTGCTTTTAATATTCAGTTTTCTTTGGCTTGGATTCTTGAAGTAATGTGGGTTGTTCATAGTTCGGAATTCTGTAAACAAACGCAGCATTTTTGCCTTCAGTAAAGTATAAAGAAAACACTAAAACAAGGTGCTTGAACAGCAGCTCTTTGCCCTGCAGTTCTAAGTTTGAAACGTTTGACAAGCCAGGCCCTAGGTAAGTCAGATGGTCACTCAAGCAAGTAGTCCTTACTCAGCTGAGTCATCCTGCTTATTTTAATGGGGCTACTTGTGCAAGCTGTGGGCTGCTCATCTGAGTAAGGGTTTGCGAAATCAGCCCATTAGGACTTGTTTTTGCCAGAAAACGAGGGTTAGAACCTGACCTCGAGGAGTTGTCTTGAACATGTTAAACACCCTGTGGTTGCATAAACCAGGACAGCTCGTGTTTTTAACATTTTCAGTTGGTCGTGGTAGATTTCTACTGAAACCAGGGCGTACCTCTGACTAGCAACAACTTGTCCCTGCATCCACTGACTGCAGTCATATATAACATTGTGCTAGGGTCCATGACTCTCAACGCATGTTCCAATACTGCCCCATTTTCTAGTGAAAGGAAGTCCCCTGATAATGTACATGGAAGCAGAATGTTTATTGTATGTACAGTGCTTCCTCATTCCAAGTTGTCTAGCTTTTCTTTGCTCCATTCATGCTGCCAGTTGACCCATAACAACAGGCTTGGTTTTAAATACGGTTTTAAAATGGTAAAAATTTCCACTTTGTTTCTTTTCCCCTCCCCACCCTGGCTTGATGATGTACAGTACATTCTGCAACTGTCCATTACTCACTTTTTGTCTTGATGCAAAGTAGCTGAAGAAATTGTAAAAGGGGGAAAAGGTTCCTTCTCTTCTTCATGTTGGAATGTCACTGGTACCTCAGCTCTGTTTGATAATATAAAACAACAAAAACTCCTTAGCGCTTGAACTAAATAAATACCTGTCTCATTGGAACTCTTTGATGGCTCTTTTCTCTAAGAACGTGGTGGGGGAAGGAAGGAACTCTGATTTATTTACTTAGCAGGAGGCTTGGATCTCTTTTCTCTTGGAACAAGAAAATAGCTCTATCTACCTTCTCCCCCAAAGTAAGCTTAATGTGTCCATGAAATACTCTCCAGTCTAAGCTACTGTGCCCTGTTCTGAAAATTTAACTCCACAGAGAGCATCACTTTAATGTCTTGTGGCACAAACTAGAGCAGCCTTTGCAATGTTAGCTCTTGGCTGTAGCAGTCGTTCTTTTTCTCTCCTTCCCCTGCAGCTGGTGACCACCTTGACCTTGGAAGTCAGTAATCTCCTCTTTTCGGTTTTAAAATCCTTGTAAAGAAAAACAGCAGTCCCACAAGCAGGTACATTGGTGGCCAACCTCTGTGTTGAACCCCGTCCGTTGGCACTGCCTGTCCTCCTGTTCAATTTGTCCTCTAAGATCCCAGAGCTAGCTCCAAGACTGAGGGTGGAACTAGTTCGTATGGTGAGGGCATGTGCACAATGGAGAGGAAGCCACGACCGCTGGTGAAGATTCTGCTGGTAGGCTTCGCTTCATCAAGAAGAGAGACGGTGGTTGTTGGAATTGCTAATGAGGCAAAAACAGTCCAATGCTGAAGTGCTGGTATATGTAGCAATGACTGGGAAACGCTAGCCGGGATCATGGAGGGAGAAATACGGGAGAATTCCATAAGCACTTAGGGGCACCAATGTGTGAACCATGCATGGCCTAACATCAACTCATTGACTCAGTGTCCCAAAACACACAATGAAATGTCGTGTCTTATCAACTGGTTCTCCAACAAATGAGCTTTTGGATTTCCTGGTAGTGTTACGAATTATACCTGGTAGGACACGCACACAAATGCTGCGAATTATACCTGATAGGTCACGCACACAAATGCATCAGTAACTTCTATTATCAGGATGGGAGGCCTCACATCAAAGGCCAGGAGATAGGGAGTTAGGGACAGACAAAGAACAGAAACCGGGAGTCAAGGCAGGCTGGAGACAAGGGGGAGGGTTTTCACAGGAATGCAGTATCTAAGGAACACTCTTCCTGGTGCATGATGTGCTTGCTCTTAGACCGTGGTGGGCCCCAAACCACAATGGAGTCACATGTGCTGACTTTCCCTTAACAGCAGCTTTCACGTCCCAGTACACACGGCACTGGAACTAGTACCGGTGGATGCCCTCAGGCAATGAGCCATAAGCGCATCTGTTGCCGGGGGATGAGGAAACGCTGAGTGGCACTGTAGACGGGATCAGACCCGAGAGCTCTAAAAACGGGTGTAGTTGGAGGGAGTGGGAGAGCTCTGAAAGCTGCACTCTTGCGGTACTCGTGCTAGTTAGGGTGCGGTCGCTGTGGGAGGTCCCTTCCAGCCTGAGTTACGTTGACCTGTTCTCTAGGGCTCGGTGATCCCAGCTGTGCAGAGAACATACGTGAACATATTTCCTGAGGCAGGGTCTGCAGAGGATGTTCATTGCCCTGGTATGTGCCTTCACCGCCCCCAGAAAGAGTGACTTGCTAGTCCTCCTCTTTCTCCTGGGCAGGATGGCCAAAGTCCTATGGCCACCCCATTTCTAATCCAGAAATGTAGCCCCTGGGCTAATGTCCCAGCGAGCAATGAGCTGAGTGGCCAACTCATTGTAACTTTTGCCTTCTGGGACCTGCTGCATCTCCTGTTCGGCTTTCCCTGTGGCTGCAGAGGGAGAAGACCTTGGCTGGGGCCTCTAAACCCCTCTGACTTTCCCCTGCTCTTGCATCGTAGTTCCTGAGCTCAGGCTGGGCTCTGGCTCGGCCTGCTGGGCTCTAGGACAGCTGCATGTGTCTCACAGTGAGGAATTCCTGCCTCCAGCGGCTCTGTGGTCTGGCGTGTGGCAGCTTGGCGGGATAGCCGGCAGTAAAGGCCAGTCACAAGCCCTGAATCTTAGTTTCCGATGGACTGCGACCGTCTAGATGCTCAGGTAGGTCTGTGGTATCCTTGCATAATGGCCTGGGGGCTGGGAAGAAGCTCTTGCTTAAAAGATGCTGTGGTAGGTTTGGGGGGACATGGGAGACAGAGGTGTTCCAGCTGAAAGAAGTAGCCAAGATAAAGCTTTACCCTATTGAGCCCAAGCATGATTGGGAGGGGCTGTGCTTTGTGTGTACAGGGCTTAGCACTCCAGGGCCCTAATCCCTGGTTGTGGCTTGCAGGCACTACTGCAATACAAATATTCAAAGCAGACTTCCTGCTGTCGTGCTTGAGCCATTACTGTGGGGCAGGGGTGCGTTATTTCTGTTTTTAAATGGATAGTTTGGGGTCAGAGGGGAGATACCTAGCATAAACAGTCGTCTGTCTTGGCCACTCACAATGATGCCTAAACAGCTAGTAGATACTACTGGCTTGGGATCTATTTACTGGTAGTTAGGAGCTGAAACTGTTCATATGGTAAAAGGAAAAGGAGTACTAGTGGCACCTTGGAGACTAACCAATTTATTTGAGCATGAGCTTTCGTGAGCTACAGCTCACTTCATCGGATGCATGGACGAAAGCTTATGCTCAAATAAATTGGTTAGTCTCTAGGGTGCCACAAGTCCTCCTTTTCTTTTTGCGAATACAGACTAACACGGCTGCTACTCTGAAACCTGTTCATATGGTAGTACATTTTCCACAACAATCGTGCCCAGAGACAGGTATGGCTATTTACCTTCCTCTTGTATGTAGCTGAAATGTATTAATAATTGGGAGAAAGTCCAGAGGAGAGCAACAAAAAAGATTACAGGTCTAGGAAAAATGACCTATGAGGAAAGACTGAAAAAACTGGGTTTGTTTAGTCTGGAGAAGAGAAGCCTGAGGGGGAACAAGTTGTCGAGTACATATAAGATTGTTATAAAGAGGAGGGTGATAAATTGTTCTCTTATCCACTGAGGACAGGACAAGAAGCAATGGGCTTAAAGTGCAGCAAGGGAGGTTTAGGTTGGACATTAGGAAAAACTTCCTAACTGTCAGGGTGGTTAAGCACTGGAATAAATTGCACAGAGAGCTTGTGGAATCTCCATCATTGGAGGTTTTGAAGAACAGGTTAGACAAACCCCTGTCAGGGATGGTCTAGATAATACTTAGTCCTGCCTCAGCACAGGGGCCTGGACTAGATGACCTGTCGAGGTACCTTCCAGTCCTACATTTCTATGATTCTATTAAATAAAAAGTTGACATCAATCTTATTAATATAACATTAAAGTTACAATGGTAACCACTCAGATGGCAGGAAATGCAAAAGTTCAGGATCCCCCCCAGTAACCTCAAATCTCCCATGTTGCTCGGAGACACTGGAGTTACTAGCAATAGTAAATGTAACCAGGTATGTTACTCTGGACAAGTGACTTTGGGCATGTCTACACTTAAAACACCGCAGCGCTTCAGCGAAGGCCAGAGGTGAAAGTAAGCCAGTCTGGTACGGCTTCCCCAGGTTGGCAATTTAAAGGGCCCAGGGCTACCTGCAGCGGCCAGAGCCCTGGGCCCTTTAAATCGCCTTCCGAGCCCTGCTGCCGGAGCCCTGGGGTAGTGGTGGCAGGGCTCCAGCCACTGCGGGGAGCCCTGGGCCCTTTAAATCATGGCTGGAGCCCTGCTGCTGCTACCCTGGGGCTCAGGCAGCCAGGCTTGGGCAGCAATTTAAATAGCCCAGAGCTCCGCTGTGGTAGTGGTGGCTGGAGCCCCGGGCCCTTTAAATCGCCCCTGAGCCCCGGGGCTCCCAGCTGTCTCTGCAGCTGGGAGCTCTGGGTGTGATTTAAAGGCCCTGGGGCTCCCAGCTGGAGCCCAAGGGCCTTTAAATCTTTGAAGTCCCTGCCTCTTCCAGATGAGGCCACACCCCCGCTCAGGACTCTGGTGTACCGGTAAGTCCTTTAAGTTACTTTCACCCCTGGTGAAGACGGCACTATGCCAATGGGAGAGCTTCTCCTGTCGATGCCTTTAATCCCCCCCAAAATGGGGAAAAGCCTCCTGTCAACATAGTGCTGTCTACACTGGGCATTAGGCCAGTATAACTGCATTGCTCAGGGGTGTGGATTTTCCCACCCCTGCGGAGTTACAGCAATGTAAATCGATCGTGTAGACCTGGCCTTAATTTCTCTCTAGTACTTATCTGGCCCCTATCCCTGTAGTATCAAAGGGCCTCACAACCTTTGAGGTAGGAAAGCACTATTATCCCCACTGAACAGATGAGGAACTGCTTCTGTTTCCCATCTGTAAAAGGGGGCACATAATCCTTCCATCCTTTGTTTTCTTTTTAGGCTATAAGGCTTTCAGGGCAGGGACTGTGTCTTCTGTTGTGTTTACAGGGATTAGTGCAATGGAACACTGGTCACCACTAGAGCCTCTAGGTGTTATAACATAAATCTAATAACCTACGTCCCCACTGGGCCCACTTTACTCCAAGATGCAGGCACAGCTGTAAGTGGGTGTGGTGACAGTACGGTGACCAGATGTCCCGATTTTATAGGAACAGTCCTGATTTTTGGGTCGGTCTTATTTAGGCTCCTGTTACCCCCCCCCCCCCTTCAACCCCCTGTCCCGATTTTTCACACTTGCTGTCTGGTCACCCTAGGTAACAGATTCACCAATAGACGGTCAGGCCTCGGTAAATGAAATGTGGGCAAGTTGAAAGCAGTGCGCTCGAATTCAGCTTGTGCTGTACGATAAAACCTGTCCCCAGAGTTAGGGCTTTATTTGATTTAAAATGTTTAAAATAGACAAAACAAGGGGAGAAGGGGGAGTAGCATTCCTGGGGCGCTGATTTCCGGGCCAAGGCTTAAGCCTATGCTGATCAGCAGCTGTTAGTAACTGGTGCCTGCTCCATGGTCTGTCTGAAAGGAGCCATTCTTTCTGTGGGTCCTAGTGGACCTGTATCCACACCACAAAACGTTTGGTGTTATCTGCTGGGTGCTCCCCCCGTTGACCGCTAACTGCCCTTATCGGTGGGTGGAGCTTCCA